GGAGGCGTAGGTACCGATCGTCAACGCCGCTGGAACCGGTGCCGCGACCGCAGCCGCTGGCACCGCCGCCGGCAACAAACCGGCGGAACACGCGCCGATCAAGCCGGCGAGCAGAACCTATATGGCAAAAGAAACAGAGAGCAGATCCAATTTAGTTAATTAATAATCACTTCCTTCCCACGTTCGCGTTAATACCCACGTTAGCGAGTGTATGTTAATTTTGAAGCTGTATGTGGTGAAATAATCCTGGACGAGAGCGATTTAGTTGTACAACTGCAGGTATTATTATTATCGCGCATATATTAATTTACGAGTTGGCCACGTCTACGAATAGAAGGCATTGCAGGGAAGGGCATGAGAACAGAGAGAGATCAGAGGATCAGAAAATTAATAGGAATTATCTGTTCATTCTGCTGTGATCTTTGTGCAGAATTGTCAAAAGAGGGAACGGTTAAAACTGACGAAAAGAATTGGAACAGGGGTAACAGAAATATATCAGAATTTCTTTTATCTTCTCGAATGAGACAAGACGAGACAAGGTTCTACTATCTTTTATATCTTATCATATATATCAGACTTGTCCGCAAGAAGCAACCATCCCGGACAACTTACCAAGAATTTCACGGCGAACATTTTTACTTGTTGTTGAGGTCTCGGAAGTGGATCGAGTAGATCGCAATGTACAACTGTACTGTCATGTGAATTGGCTAGAGGTCTTTTATAGTCAGTTTCGTCCAGTGATATACCCCCACTGTTGCGGGGCATGTCCGCAACACTGGTTCACGACACGATGAGGCTTCTGCATACCGAATTACCTTTGCTCGTTTTAGGCCACGCCTGCGAATACACAGTAACTATCTCTATGGTCAAATCTAGCCTTCGTTTTTTTCTTTCTCTCTAATTTTTTTGACCTTGACTCACGTTGAGATTGTCACGATGGCCACCGGTGACTGGCGTTTCTATTTCTACAAATCATCTTTTAGAGTCGTTGAGGCGAAGCTTAGCCGACAAAGAGTTACGAGGCAATATAATTTTATTGCAACGTGTAAAATAATATTTGATAAAAATTGGAAATATGGTCGGCATATACAAAATTTCGTGTGACAATTAACATGTGTTAAACTCGTGGTTCCTGGTCACACGGGTTCGTACGGTGTCGTTCACCGCGGATACGCGTTACCTTCGAACGTCCTTTGTCTGTAACATTTTTCTTTGGCCACCGTCGCACGCGATCTGACAGCAATATATTATACTATCGAACAGGATGTGCGCGCAGTCGTATATTATAGATCATCGGAAGAAACGAACGTGAAACAGAGTGAAAAATGTTAGAAATTCAGTTCTCATAGAGAGAGAGAGAGAGAGAGAGAGAGATTGCAGACCAACGAAATCTTTCATTTCACTCATTATAGTTTAGACTCTGTATTCTCGCAGCTGTGTCTACGAATTTATTTTGAACTTGTTCTTTCTAGTTTCCACAAAACGCGAAAAATGATCGCGAGGAGACTCGACGTTCAATTCAAATTTTCGCAAATTCAAGCCAATATAATCAAAAATTGCCATCTTGACATCTATATAAAAACATCGATATATTTCAATATCTTTCGTCATTTTCATTAGCAAATCGAAAGAAAGAATTTTTGCGCCGAAGAATTAAGAATCATTTCGATTCAGACAAGTAGGAGATCCTGCGTCATATCAGCCAGTAAAATTATTTTTTAACGATGCATGATATTAAAACGTCCATTCGAAAACGAAATTAAGGATAAACATATATGAAACAACTCTGGTAACAGACAAGCCTGTCAATTTTTTTTTTTTTTTGAAAAAGAAGTTCCGAAAGTGATCGAAGAGCGACGTTTTGAATTAGAATAACTCCGTTGAACGTAACTTGATTCTGATATCTTGAAATTGGTGCAACGTTAATGAAGACGTGCATACCATTTGAAGTTCATTTGCGAACGTGTGATATATGTTTGGGTGCGGCTCATGCCCGTTCTAAATACAAAACGCGGCCGTGCGCGCAGTGCGCGATGTCTACGATTGGGACATCGCAAAGTTTCGAGGATCGTTCGTCTGACGTGACTCGAATTTCCTACTGGAAACGCCGTCTTGTTCGTCAACTTGCTCCTCGTAACTTTCCCTCGGTTCATCGATACGAAATACTGTGTCGAACTTCACTCTCAACACCGTACGGAAATCCTGTCACGTACTTATCATGCATTTTCGACGCTTTGTTAGAGGAATTTCATTTGCTCGCTGGTAACGATATCGCTAGCAGTTAGCTCGAATAACGATAATATATCGTCACGGAAATAATATATAAAATGTCGTTTTTTTTTTTTTTTTTTTTTTTTAGAAATTCTTCGTTTCGACAGAGCTAGGAAAAGTTATGTT